CACACACACACACACACACACACACACACACACACACACACACGCACGCACTCACTCACACACACACGCACACACTCACACACACACACGCACGCACACACACGCACACAGAGAGACAGACACACACAGAGAGAGAGAGAGAGAGGGAGAGAGGTTTTCATACAGCTCGATTGTGGCGCGGAGGAAAGTCATCCGCAGGAGTCAAAATACGGGAACTGAGCGTAATCTGTCTGGACTCATTGTTATCCAATCTTATCTGCTCGCTCGTTCAATCCTATCCCTCATCTCTGCTTACCTTCTCTGGATGAAAGTGGTTGCGCAGTCTCAAGTGACGCGTGAAGTACAGTAGTCGACTCTGGACAGAAGCGCCAGACTCTAAGAGAGCAGAAGAATGGGTACGGAAGACACGACCGTGAAGACTTGGAGATGGCGAATGACCGGAAATACAGACCGAGAGAGAGAGAGAGAGAGTGGAGATGGGAGGAAAATTTTAATAAATGCGGAGGAGAAAGAGAGGCTGCATAACCAAGAAGCTCGCACCAAGCACGCGAGTGCACCTGTGCTGTTTGGTGGTGCGATGGAGCCTTTATTTCTAGTCGCAAACCGCACTCTGCATTCTGACTGAGAAAAGCAACGAGAAAACCCCGATGTGACGACATGTTTACATCATCAATGACCTGCCCGAGATAGCTCAGAATTGGTCTGTTGAGCCAACTACGCGGCGAAGGAAAGTGAATTCCCCCAATCAGTAAAACGAAAAACACGTGCCAGATGAGTCATTGTGACTCATTCACTCGCACACCGAAGCCGCGGCACTTTCCAATAAGTGCAGATGTAGCCAACGGGCGTACCCCAGTTGGTATAACCCCTCAGTTGTTGAAATACAGACTCGGGCTCGAATCCCGACCCCTTCAGATGAACAGAATAAAATAGTTCTGAATTGCCCCGGGAGGGAGGGCCGTGGTTTGCAGAGGGCCAGTGTTAAAAACGCGGCCAAAACCCAAGAGCCTAGCTCAGTGGGGACCACACCCATGAACTGTTGAAAATACAGACTCGGACCCGTGTTCGAATCCAGGTGATGGAAGTTTATGAGTAAAAGTTGTAAAACCATCTCTTTCTGAATTGCCACACAGGCTTTCGCCCTTTTTTTTTCTTTTTTTTTTAAAGGCGCAAAAAAAAACGGACGTTGGAAGTAGGGGCTCGCCACACAGGCTTTCGAAACGGAGGCCGTGTCTTCGCCACACAGCCTTTTGAAACCAGTTCTTTCGAAAGAGTTTCGAAAGGTGTCAGATGGGCCGGCGTCGAAAGTCATTTCGAAGAGATGAGATCCTCCTGCCTGTCACGAGCCTTTCCTCGAAATACCTCGAGTGGTCTTGTGAAAAGGCCCATGTGAAACGGTTGATCAGTCGGCAAAAAAAAGGAAAAAAAGGGGGCGATTCTCTTTTTTTTTTCTTCTTTTTCCTTTAAAGACTATACTCTTCTCTCAATTTTCCTCACACTACCTACCTACCACTACTCCTACTTACAGGCATACGGGAAACCCGTAGCATACCAGAGCTGTGTTTTTACGGCCCCTCGAGCCTGCAGGATACCGGCCAGGGGACGGCCGGTAGCACCAGGGATAAAGCGAACCAATCCCCCGTGCCTCCCCTCAGGCCCCTCCCGTACAAACATAGCAGACTCTGCTTGATGCCCATCGTACTGGCTCCACTACTCTGGACATGCACAAACTACAAAAAATATGGCGTATCTTTTTATGTTCTAGGCAAAGATTCAGACTCTCGTTTTACACGCCTAGTGAGCCAGGCCCTAATGTGCATATCGAAAGGCCTGGACGTTTCGAAAGTCTGTGTGGCCAGGGGGGGTTTCCTTTCGAAGAGCAGACTTTCAAAAAAGTCTGACACCTTTCGAAAAATGCCCTCGTTCGAAAGCCTGTGTGGCGAGCCCCGTACACGGGCGTGCCAGGTGTGCAGTGGGCCCTTCAAGGAAGCTGAAGTGCTCAACCTGTGCGCACTCTCCTTATATTTTGGAGATTGGACTGCCACTTCAGGAGCGTTCTGCTGGGAATTTTTTTATTTTTTTTTTCCCCAAAATTGCACTTTTATTAACAGGGCCCAGTGCCCAAGGCAATTACATGATCAAGATAGAAAAACAGGGACAACAGGTTGTCCTGCCCCACCAGGAGCCCGGAGCCCCATCCCTGCATACACAGTATCCACACTCTTAACCCTAGCGCGGCACCAGCCCTGCTACGACCACTAATTATCCATCTCCATTCCTACATACTCAAAATAAAAATCACTAAGGAAAATTCCTCACACGCACCGAGCAGCGGACTAAACAGCAGCAACATAATATAGTAGGGTTGCCCACCTATAAAAACAAAAGTCATTTAGTTCGAGCAAGGTATATCTAACCAACTTAAATACACTAGCCAAAACACACCTGTCCAAAGGATCAAAATATTACCAAGTCATTACCCCACCGCAAACGAAACGCCGGCGACAGAACATATTAGGGTCGCCCACCTATTTAATTCCAATGCGTTCATGTTTTAAGCCCAACATCAGTCGCATCAAGCTGCGAACTAAACCGCAGCAACAGAATGAAGTAGGGTTGCCTACCTATAAAGACAAAAGTCATTTTGTTCTAGCAAGATATATCTATCCAAACGCCACCGTTAACCTAGGAACAGGCATGTCAATACCCCAAACACCTAGGAGCCATAAAAAGGACACACCACGACACACATCGAACGGGAGAATCCTACATAGTAGATTAAACAACCGAACATATAAGGCAAAACAACAAATAAACGCCACCGTTAACCTAGGAACAGGCATGTCAATACCCCAAAACACCCAGGAGCCACAAAAAGGACACACCACGGCACACATCGGAAGGGAGAATCCTACATAGTAGATTAAACAACCAAACATATAAGGCAAAACAACAAATAACAAAAGGGGAAGGGGAATTCCTACCCTACAAAAAACATAACCCAAAATAAAAAATAATCTAAATACTACACTCCAATTCAAAAACAAAACTTCGAAAAAACCAAGTCAACGAAGCAGACAATTTTGAAAATAGCATCAAAACTAGTCTACTACGCTACCCAGCAATTTCAGAGGCAACAATACTAAAACTACACGTAACCCTAATAGCCCTCAAACGATGTATGCCAAAATTCCTCTCAAGAAGTCACACACATCCCGGAGGAGGCAATCCCGGTATGCTCCCTCTTTGCGGATGATCTCACAGTTTGGCGGAGGCCATTCACAACAACATGAAGGAAATTCAGCAAATGATGGAAAAGTTTGCAAAAGTTTTCGACATGACAGTTAACTAGGGGAGCAAAACTCAAGGATGGTGGATTCACTACCAAGGACGGCCCCCCAAGATACCACGTATTAAGTGGATGCCATTAGAGGCCCCAGTAAGAATTCAAGGGGTATCCATGACCGCTCAAGGACGCCCATCAATCAACGATGAATGGATTAGCGCCCCGACACAACAAAAACTAGATAACCGGAGAAATAAGCACACATCCTTTTTTGGCCGCGCCCTAGTAATTAACAATGTGGTCTTCGCAACATTATGGTACAAATCGCTATTGTGGCCACTAAGCAAAACAACCCTAAGAAGCTTAAAGAGAAAGGCAGCAGCCTTCTTATGGAGGGGGGAAGGCGAGGAGAACAACGTGATCAGCCGCGTGGTGTGGGATTCAATTATTCAACCTAAGGCGGGGGGAGGCTTGGGAATTATTTACCCAACCACGCAAGTGCAAGCACTACGACTAAGATGGATTAAAAAGCTCATTTTCACCCCCAAGTGTCTGTGGTGCACACTGGCTCTGGAACATCTGGCCCGACTGGCCCCAAAGGCCCCCTTAATACTTCACATGCTGTTATGGCTAGTCAAAGATCACCGGTTCTGGACAATCCCACGTAAGCTCCCCCGAGGAAGGGACGGGATGGAGGGAGACGACCAGATTTCGAACAACTTCTGGCCATCCTTGTGGGAAACCTGGCGCGGACTTCCGCTCCCAGATAAAATTCACCCTAACTGTTGGGAAGAAGTCTATCGGCAACCTCTCTTTGAAAACCGATGGCTAACAAATTTGAGTGGTTGTGTCATGATAAGCTCATCCTTACCTTGGAAAAGTAGGGTAACGAGAGGGGTACTCAGGGTTGAGGATCTTTGGGAAACTGACAGAAGGGACTGGAAAACAAGAAACAAGATACGAGGAATCCTACGTTACTACCACCACGTAGAGGAGCATCTGAAAAACCCTGATTGAAGCCATCCCCCTGGCGTGGTACCAAATCCTTAAACGAGGTCCCTCCTTAAACCACAGGTCCCCCTGACGTCAAAAACCTCGGGGTACCGGTGGCGCCGTTTCACGACGGGTACCGGTCGTACAGCGTGGAAAACTAGGCGGGCCTCCGTACGAAATTCGCGACAAAAAATGGAAATAAACTGAACCGGCGCGACAAATATTTCACCCTCAAAAATGATTTTTTTTTTTTTTCTGATATTTTTCCCTGAATTCACGACCTAATCTACGGACCCTCAAATTTTCAGATATTTTCATGACTTCTTCTGAGCACAAAAAATTGGCAAAGTTGCCGCTTGCAAAATGGCGGGATTGAACCCGTCGGCCTCCGTACAACCCGGCGCCTCCGTACGGTCGCCGCCCCTCTGTACAACCCGGCCCTAACTCACAGGGACTAGGGGTTTTCAGTGGCGGAGGGACCTATGGTGTAAGAGAAGACGACTAAGTAGCTAGCAAGGAATCTCCACAAAGGATAGGTCTGTTACATATGGTCTCACCTCAGTTTGTTCTAATTTAACACTAGAGCAGACACCGTCCAAGGTAGCAGAGCCCCTTTAGAATGGAAAGAGAAAGCATATGTGTACCGAGTGAGAGTCTTAGAGGAAAAGGGACAGAGGGTGGTGTTCCAGTCTTTCAAACCAATCCAGGATCTGGCCCTGGACCCAGCGGAATGGACATCGGAAACCTCCCAAAGGAGGGGAGGCCCTAAAGGAGGTCGTATCAGCCTCCACCAACTGTCGACCAAATCAGCCTATAAAATGCTCTGACCTAAAAGACGGCTGAGAGACAGAGTAAACGACAGATGGGCCAGACATCTAAACGTGGATCGCTCCTTTTTATCTCCAATAAATGGTTTCAAGAACAAAAAGCAAAACATATGAAAATCACATCCCTACAATGGCATATTCCCCATCGCTGTTTGTCAACCAACGACTGGCTAACTGACCGTACTAATTTAGAACAAAAAGGTATGCTCCTTCCCTGGTGCCACGGGTGTCAGAGCCTCTTCCCGTTCAACAAGAAAGCGGAAACCATCGAACACATCTTCATGCAATGCCTAATCGCCCAATTTATATGGAGATGGTGAGATCGCATCTGAAGAAAGATGGAACCTGCAATATCTTGGCCCAGGTCCTGGCAAGCCATATTGGCCAGCCATTGGCCACAGGCAGAAGCAGTCACGACCTTCGTAGAGAATATGTACAGACTTGGAAGGAGAGCAGTGATATGGGCACTTTGGTGGCAGAAATGCACGCTGACCATGGAAAAG